CCTGATCTATGTATACCTATCTCACTTTTCCTACAGATCCGTTGCTGTGGGGCCATCCTTCTTACCCGGGGTAGCGCACTGGATACATTCGGGTGGGGCGCTTGACGTGGCACCCTCTGATACCAACGGTAATGGGTGGATGTTTCGCAATCCGACCAAAAAATTTAAGTTATTAAATGGAACTAACACCTAACTTATTTATATTCATTTCACTTCCCGTCCAAATCTGATGTGAGACAAGTGTCCCCTTACACTAGATTCATGAGGAGGCCATGTTTAGGTTCATTGGATTGATCTGATAATAAATAGGAAAATGTTTATTACCTTATACATGCATTGTATAATTTAGAATTAGGTTAATGAAGCTAAGATTGATTTCAAGCAAATATTGGGCAGTAGTTTTGTGATATATAAATTTTGTAATTGCTAATTTTGGTATCAAAACATAACTGATCAAGTTGTGATTTTTGTTTTATCTTAAATTTTAATATCAGAAGTAGAACTACACGTACAAGCATATCATTTAGTAAAAGTATATGAATGAGAATACACATTGCACTTTATGTTTAAGTCAAATTAGGTTGATTTAAAGTTTTTGGAATTTTTTAAATTTAAAAATGCAAATTTCTAAAGTCAGACTGATCCAACTTTGTTTCACTTGTCGAACTTGATCAGTGTCCAGAACAAAATTTTGAAACTTTTAGGATTGCTACTATTAAAATCCGACCGGTCCCACTGAGCCCCTTTACGAGAAAATAGAAGGAAACTCTCAATTTTTATAAAATTCATCTTTTCATTTTGGTTAAATCCTTGAGAGAAGTCCTTCTATGTTTTAAAAATCAGGAAAATACTCTCTAATATCTATAAATACTTTTATTCTCTCTTGATTAGCTAGGGCTTGAAGATTAATATTTTTGCAATTGAAAGAATTATTTGAGAGTATTTTTTGCAAAAATCATCTTGATTACTCTATATATTTTTGTTTATCGGACAGCACATTCTATTGCACAAGAGTAAATTAGAAGAGTGTTCTCAATCTGATTGGATCGTAGTTCCAGATGTGTTGAAGGATCAGTCACTTCCAATTAGAAAAATCAGGGTTTTATTTTGTCTTTTCAAATTTATATTTGCAGAGAGGAGGATTCAACCGTACAAAAGGGACAAAGTGTTAATTAGTACGTGAACACCTAAGATTATAGTCATTTAATTTCTCTCTTTCAATACATAATCGAGAAATGGGTTACTATTTCGATATACATCCCAAAAAAGATCTGCACCCACACTCGCTAAGCATTCGCGTTCTTCCAACAATTCCTCTCCAAGGATTGAGGACTAAATCATAAATCTTCTGCAGTTGGACAAGAAGCCTGAAATGTTTTGCAACTCATTCTTGGTAGAATGAGGTGGGTGTGAGTAGTTTGGTTTGAGATAGTGAATTATTTCATTGGAAATTGTGAAAGTTTTGTGGTTTTCTCCTTAATTGGGTTGAGTTTTTCCAATTAGGTTTCCACTGGTGTATCTCTCCAACTTTATTTTATTTATATCTTCATGTGTTAGGTTTAAATTTTAATTTTTGAAAAAAAAATTAAATAAATCAAAAATTAAATAAAGGATCAAGTAAAATTTATTCACCCTTATCTAAGAGCATCTCCAATGGGGCTCTCATTTGGACTGCCAATTCAAAATATAACAGGTGGACTTAAAAATAGGCTCTCCAATGCAATGCTATTTGGGCTGCTACTTTTTAACTTTGTTATTTCTTATGTCAATTGTAGCAAAACAAATAACAATTGCTATATGGGCTGGGGCTGCAGAAAAGATCGGACCGGCTCCAATTTTGTACCATGTATGTTGCTTGCATAGAATAGCTATCAAATGGGTAAATTTATATATAACCTACAAGTTAGAAACTACTGAATAATACTGATCTCCAAAGCATCTTGTGATATCCCTGGCCTTCTAGGCGTCTTAAATATTGGATATATATACCTTCTGAATATATGTATTTGTACTTGAAAGGTCTAAACATATATATATATTGGTAAAGGCAAAATTATTAAACAACATTTTCAATAATATGAAATTGAAAAAAACAATCATGCTCAGTGTGTTTTCTTGTTGATATTAATCTAGAATAATAGCAGGAACAGAGTGATTAAGACTATTTTTTTTTCCTCATTATTTGCACAAAAATATAATTGTGAGCAGTTACATTATTATTGAGGCTTTCTACAAAGCATTTCGAACTCTCAAATTGTACATAACTGTCCTGCCGAGTTATTGTTTATACAAAGAAAAACAAACAAATTAGTGGCTTAATGTCAAACCTTGGCTCTTCTATAGTACTACTCTCTTTGGATCTTTCTTATTTCTCAGTAAAAATAAAACAAAAATATATAGCAATATAATAATTTGTGAACATAAGTTACATAAACCGTGGCAAGATAATCTGGTTGAAGGAGGAGCCATGCATAATAAAAAAAAAAAAAAAAAAGGTCAAATATTTTTATTTATTTTTAATAAGGCAAACAAGCTAAATAAAAGACAAACACTCTATTTAAAGTCTAGAACGAGAATAGAGATGGAGGCGATTGGGGAGGCTGAAATAATTATTATTAAAATATATATATTTTTTAATAATAATATAAGCAAATAATATATATATATATATATATATATATAAATTCCCGAAAAAAAAATTATAAATATATATATATTATTTTGTTTTATCTCTCTTTTTTTCTTTTCTTTTTTTTTTTTTGGTTCTTTTTTTGACCAAATATTTTAATTTTTGGTTCTTTTTAATTAGGTTTAATTTTAGTTTCCTTCTAAGGTTTACAACTTGACTTGGAATGTGTCTAATATTAATATTATTGATGCAAATATGAATTGTGGGAATGGTAGTTGAAAAAGAATGGTAATTGTGTCAAAAAATAATATTTTGCATGAAATGCATCATTGGAGCAAAATTGCTAAAATGTAGTATTTTGACACTGTAGCACATGTCAAAATATAAATTTGGTATGCAAAAATGACTTTTAGCATTGGAGATGGTCTAAGTTGGTAAGTTAACATAACTGCTTTCGCACCATCCTTATTTTAAAATCCTTTGTTCACAAGACCGAACTTATCCTTGTGATTCCGAGAAAAATAAATTTATCTCAACTATTTTAGATCAGCTACAGAAAATTATAAATTGTGTAAGAAATTCAATTAAACCCATGCTTCCTCTTCTTTCCCTACCAATGCCCTATGCATCAAAACCCTAACAGCAAAAGACAGACCCCACCCCCACCATACCCTTTTCAATAATTGTTGGCTGATTCCGAAACAAGAAAACAATTCTATCTTGAAACCGTTTCTGCATAGATCTTGTCCATCTGATTTTGTTTTACAAAAGAGCCACAACATTATCATAGGATAAATCATTTCTAATTGATCTAGTTTTATAATCCAAACCCAAACTAGGGTCGAAGTAATAATATAAAATTAAAATTTTAAAATAAAATAATTGTAATGATCACTTGGGGGAAAAAATTTCAACCCTATTGATTATTTGTACCCTTAAAGATTTTCTTTCTTTCTTTCAATAATAATTAAATCAAATTCAATGAGAGATACATAACGTCATTCATGTAATTGATCTTGTTTTATAATTGATTATACGCAACTTAAACTAGGGTCGAAGTAATAATATAAAATCAAAATAAAATAATTGTAACAATCACTTGGGAGGAAAAAAATTCAACCCTATTGAATATTTGTACCGTTAAAATTTTTCTTTCTTTCTTTCAATAATAAGTAAATCAAATTCAAAGAGCGATACGTAACGTTATGCATCATTCGATGGACTAATGCACCCAAGTTGTAATAAAATGAGACACTAATATCTAGCTTACACCTGTGGGACACTAAGATCTAGTTTAAGGGCCCACGTATTACTTTCATCACAAAACTACAAAAAAGCCGAATTATTTGACATTGTTGCCAAACAGCTCCATTTTTCTTTTATGAGCCAATACTACGAATTTGCTACTAAAAATTTGGATTTAGGGGCCCACTTATGTGTCTTGTAATTTGATCCATCTGATCTTTGTTGATACATTTTTCTTGGATGGCTGTGATTAGCAGATCAGCATCAGCATAATTGCATGAGACATCTACTAACTAACGTTTTCAAGGTGTATCTGGTGGCTTTTGAAAATGTTTAACTATGAATTTTCTAACTCAACTATTCTAATCGTAGCAGCAAAAAAACAAAAATTTGAAGACAAAGAGAACTACTAAAACATTTCAACTTTATTGTATTTCAATAATGTTAAATTTAAATAATATATTAGATTAGGTGATGGCTACATATTTGTAATTGCAGATTTGATAACTTAGAGACCAAGAGGGCAACCAAATTAATGTGATGAAAGTATTAGAAATGATTTAAGGAAGTTAAATGTAATATGTGATATGACAATAATAAAAGAAATATATTAGAAAAATTAATTCACGACCTCATTCACGTGAAATTAAGATAATAATCAAGTACCGACCTATACATAGGTGAGTGGGGCAATTATCCTACTGAAATTTTTTGTTTTGTTGATGTATATCTACTATATTTTTTTTCTATATATATATTATATACTTATAAAATTTTACAATTTAGCTCACTAAAATTACAGTTAAAGTATTTACCAAAAAAAAAATTACAGAAAAACTTCACTATTATTTTTTTTTAATTTCTTTTTTGAGAAACCCAAAGTATTCTCATAACATATTTATCTTGTTGTTGTTAAAATCGCCCCTTAATAATGAGTCAATGATCACCCCTTTATATAATTTTCTGGGTCTATCTTGACAATAATGATGACGAAAAAGATTGCAGGGTGTGATGCTAACTTGTTAAATAACTTGTTTGCACCCATGAGGAGTTAACGATGGTTATGCAAAATTATATAAGTAAAAAAGAAAAAGAAAAAAAAGCTTATCATATAAATAAATAAATGAGTAGGAAATGTATAAGATTTATTTATGATTTCTATCATTCTTACAAATTTCAAAACTTATTACAAAAAAAAAAATGAAAGACTTTCAAAACTTAAGCTAATTGATCTGTGAAGTGACTGGCAATATTTATGCCTGTAAAATAAGTAAATATCGAATTCACAGATTACAATTCTGCAGAGTGTAAATTTCATACATTATACATATAGGAACAAATAATGATGTTTACAACAAAATGAAACAATTTGGTATTTATGTATTTGATTCATCGTCTACGAGAGAACCCAAAACCATTGGCTAGTGCATGAACCGTTGGATTGAAAGCTAATCTCCCCAAAATACCCTGCTTGTAAGGCAAGAAGGTCTTCTTCTTCAAATCCTCCGAAACCGCCCGGTTCACCGTGTAATGAAACTCATGAGCTGAGATTTGCCCCCTTCTCTTATTGCTGGACCCGGAATTCGATCCTTCCAGTGACCGGAAGCTCGCGTTCTTGACATCCTCGTGCTTCCGGAACAGACCTGTGTACTTCCTTAGAGGGTCTTTATCTCCGGCTCGTCCTTCCGATCTGCTCCTGAACAAGAAAAAATCCTTCAGCTTCCATTTTCTACAGCCCTTCGAAGACACCACCGGAACAGTAGTTGAAGGCGAGGAAGCTTTCGGAGCAATCGTAGAAGATTGTTTCTGTTCTTCTTCTTCTTGTTTTTGTTGTTCTTCTTCTTCTTCCTCCCATGGGTACTTGGAAACCCTAAGGGGAGACACTGATCTGGCCGCTCGGCCTCGGCTAGAACTCGACGACAAACCCGAAACTGACCTCTCTCTTCCTCTCTCGCGTGTAGATTCGTCTTTCTTTTCACGGCCTTGTGATCTCGCTGATGATCTAACCGGGCTCTTTTGCGGCTTCAGAGCTCGGATTTTGCCGCCGTCGAAGAGTTCTTCAGCTGGGATCGACGTCTCGTCCGATTCGCTAGTCACATGGAATGCAAATTCATCTTCATATTTGGTGCTAAACATGGATGATGATCTAACCGGGCTCTTGTTGTTGTTGTTGTTGAAGGTAGAGAACTCATCAAAGTCGTAGAGGATTCTGGAATGCTGTGTCGGGCTCGTCGGAGTGCTGAAATAGTAGCGACCGAAACGTTTTGGTGTCGAAGGAGCGCTCAGAAATGGCGAAGAACGCGCGCTGTTGAAGTCGAAATCTATGGCCTGAGCCGGTATGAGCACTTCCATCTTTGTGGATTGGGCTCTTTGTTCGTTGTTTGTATGGAGCTTTTAAGCAGCAAAGAGAGGTTGAACTCTAGAACTGCGGTAGTTATATATATATATATATGAAATGGTGGAAGAATAATAGTAGGAACTAGGAAGGAGAAGAGAAGCACCAGAGAGAGACAAATTTATTATTATCAACTCATGTGGGTCTAAGAAGCCGCCTTTTTTTACTTTTTTGTGTGGTCTTTTGTCAGTTTATCTAGGCCTTCTGAATATTATTTTCATTTTGATTCTACTTTTACAATTTGGTTATTATATTTAAATTTTAGTCCCCAGGAGGGGCACATTGGATTTTAATCAACAATACAATAATTACATAATAATTTTAAATAGATAATATAATAACTTTAATTAAATTATTTAGTCACTGTGCCTCATAATATATTAGGTTTAAGGATGTACTTCTTTTGGGTGCAAATAATTTTTTATGAGGAATCGTGCGAATATCAACTAAAAAAAATATTAATTATATAAATATGTTAAATTCTTAATTTAATGATGATGTAACACGTAATAATATGTTACTTTGAATATGAAAAGTCGGTAATTCCTTGATTTTCATACAAGAGATAGGCAAAATTGACATTATATAAATTTTGGTTTACAAGTTTGCTAAAAGGAAAACTTAGCCCATCAAATTAAAGTTCTGTAATATATATATATATATATATATATATATATATATATATATATATATTATTGTTGTTAGGACTTAGGAGATCTGGATGGATTTTGTTTGAAACAGATGGCAGTTAAAAAAATAAAGTAAACATTGAGAAGTAAAAGAAATTAAAATTACACACAAGTACGTATGGAATTTAATCATCCATGTGTCCCTATCACCATACATTAATTTATACTATAAAACCCTGCAACGCTTGATCACCACGTTAAAAAGTTCATATCTTTTTGCCCATATGAACTTCAATGGGGAGGTTATCATTGGGCTAAATGCCCTTTGATTCATACTAAACCTAATTGGAAACCGATGATATATGAAGTGTAAATTATACTAATTTTTCTTTATATTTAAAAAATTATATATAAATAAATTGTTCAATATTTGTTATTTTTATTTTTTCAAAATTTATTTGTTGGTTATCGAAATGTGACTTTGAATATGAAAAGTCAGTCATTTCTTAATGATTTTGATACAAGAGATGGGTAAAATTATCATTATATAAATTCTGATTTACAAGTTTGCTAAAAAGAAAACTTAGAGTGTCATTGAGCGCGCCCATCAAATTTGATAGTGTAATTTATTTATATTTCATTAAATATCAGTGTAATTTATCCATATATATATATATATGTATATATTATTGTTGTTAGGAGATGTGTATGGAATTTGTTTGAAACAGAGGCCAGTTAAAAAACATAAAGTAAGCATTGAGAAGTAAGAGAAATTAAATGCACACACCTACGTAATGAATTTCATCATCCATGTGTCTCTATCACTGTGCATTAATTTATATAAAACCCTGCAACGCTTGATCACCACGTTAAAAAGCTCATAGATTGCTAAGATTGGGGTGTGTGAACATGTAAATTAAAATCATTTGACAAAGGAAGAGTCCAATGTTAAACGTGGGGAGCATGATCAATTAATCTATATATATAATATTATTTTGTACATTTATTTTATATATATGATTTGTTGCAGGATATTGTTGATTTTTAAAATTCATGTATATAGACTAATTCATAACTTCTAGATTTAGACTTCATTTCATCATTTGAGGCACGAGGTGGATTAAGCTACTATATATAGAAAATTTAGCTAAGCTACGTTTGGCGCAGCTTTTTGAGGCTTGTGGGGCCCTAGAAACCTACCACTAAATCTTTCCAATCTGCCATTGTGTCTGGCTGACTAGGCAAACACACCTCAAGCTGTTACACAAGTTGCACAACATCTTTAATTATTTCTTTCTAGAATTGACCCAGATTAATGGAATTTGAAATTACCTCCTCCTCCTCCTCCTGCTATTTTATTTTATTTTATTTATTTTTTTTTTTTTTTGAATCATTGCAAAAGCACAAAGACCAAGTAATCAATGACGGTACAGAGGCAAAAATCAAGTCAGAAAAAATCATACAAATCTTGAAGCAAAATAAGAAAAAATAAAGAATAGGCTCCAGATTTATTGAGAACGAGAGCCAAAACTTTGTAACGGAAATCACTAAAGGAGAAGAGGAGTGACCCAAAGGCCTGACCATTATCAAGGCAACAACTCCAAAGTTAAATCCACAAGGTGCTTGTTAAATATAAAAAAGAGAAATTGTATATTGCATTGATGTGTAAGATATGAAAATAAATAGGGGTTTATATAAATGACGAGATATGTGCAGAGTAAAAGACCTAAACCCTATATGATAAAACTATACATGATAAACATATACATGGTTAAAATATATTCTACAATATAGTAATAATATATTCTAACAACCCCCTCAAAATCAAGGTGGATTGAATGAAATCATCTTGAGTTTGGAAATGAGATCTTGAAAGTGACATGACGGAAGCGATTTGGTGAAAACATCATCGATCTGATCATGTGAAGTGATTAACCACAATTGTAAGGTCTCTTGAAGAAAATGATGACGAACAAATGACAGTTAATCTTAATGTGGCTAGTGCGCTCATGAAAAACATCATTGTGTGCAATCTAGATTGCACTCCTATTATCACATAAGATTAACTATCATTTTGTTCGTCATCAAGAAAATGATGACGAACAAAATGACAGTTAATCTTAATGTGGCTAGTGCGCTTATGAAAAACATCATTGTGTGCAATCTAGATTGCACTCCTATTATCACAATAGATAAGACTGGCAGTGGATGAAGAAACTTCCATATCTTGAAGGAGCCAACGCAACCATAGAAGCTCAGAAGTAGTATCAGCAAGTGCCCTGTATTCAGCTTCTGTGCTAGATCGAGCAATCACAATTTGTTTCTTACTGCGCCAAGAGATAAGTAAATCACCAAGAAAGAAACAATAGCCTATGGTGAAATGGCGATCTGTAGGGTCTCCTGCCCAGTTTGCATCTAAATAGGCATGAAGAATAAGCGATGACTAAGAAGAAAAATACAGTCCATGAATGTGATGACCGTGTGGGTGGGTGTGCCGTGGGCGGGTGCAAGAGACACTGATAAGCTACCATACTGGCGAGCTACAGGTGCACAATTCCCACATTGCCTGGGAAAGGGAAAGGTTAAGTGCTTATATGTAAGTGTGTCATTTCCAATTGGTATGAGGCCTTTTGGGGCAAAGCCCAAGAGCAAAACCGTGCGGGCTCAGGCCCAAAGTGGACAATATCATACAATGTGGTGGAGTGGGTCATTACAAATGGTATCAGAGCTTGACCCAGCCGGAAGTGTGCCGACGGGTACGTTGGGCCTCCAAGGGGGGTGGATTGTGATGACCCTGTGGGCGGGTGTGCCGTGGGCGGGTGCAAGAGACACTGACAGGCTACCACACTGACGAGTTACGGGTGCACAAGTCCCACATCGCCTGGGAAAGGGAAAGGTGAAGTGCTTATATGTAAGTGTGTCATCTCCAATTGGTATGAAATCTTTTGGGATAAAGCCCAAGAACAAAACCTTACGGGCTTAGGCCCAAAGCGGACAATATCATACCATGTGGTGGAGTGGGTCATTACAATGAAACATAGAGTTTTTGAGATAACGAAGGATGTGAAGAACGATAGCAAAATGAGTAGACCGAGGGGCAGTCATGAACTGACTAACTATGTGGACAGCATGAGAAATGTCGAGACGAGTGACAGTGAGATAAACCAGACTACCTACCAACTGGCGATATAAAGTACTATCTCAAAGAGATTCTCTATCATGTAAAATAAGCCTATGTTGTACTCAAAGGGGGTATCAACAATCTTGCTGTTAGTTAGACCCGATTTCGAGAGAAGATTGGATATGTATTTTGCCCGAGTAAGATAGTAACTATCTACAGATGTAGTTATTTCAAGACCAAGAAAATAACTGAGGGGTCCAAAATCCTTCATCTTGAACTAAAGATTGAGAAACTGTTTGAGCTCCTGAATTCCCGTCAAATCATCTCCAGTAATGATCATATCATCAACATAAAGTAAAAGGAGAATGATACCTCGATTGGTGCATCAAACAAATAAAGCAGAGTTATAAGGACTAGCAGAGTAGCTAAGTTAAGAGATAATCTGACTGAATTTGGCAAACCAAGCTCGCGGTGTTTGTTTAAGACCATACAAAACATGTCTAAGTCTGCACACCTTATTAGAAGGATAAGGATAACCTGGAGGAAACTGCATATACACTTCCTCGAGTAAATCACCATTGAGAAAAATATTCTTAACATCCATCTGAAAAAGTCCCTAATAACGAGAAGTTGCCACCGCAATAAGCATTCGAACAGAGGGAAGACGTGCAATAGGAGCAAGTGTCTCCTTAAAATCAATGCCATATTCCTGTGTGAACCCTCTAGCAACAAGTCGAGCTTTGTAGCGTTCAACAAACCCATCTGAACGAGTCTTGATCTTATAAACCCATTTGTATCCTACAACAGACTTTCCAGGAGGTAGATCAACCAGAACCCATGTATGAGTTTTGGATAGTGTATCTAACTCTTTTTGCATTGTGTGCTGCCACATGGGGTTAGAGGATGCCTCACGAAAATTTTGAGGTTCATGTAAGGTAGCAAGAGCATGATAACAATGAAAATCACTAATATGTGTAGGTGGATTTCTTACCCGAGTTGAATGGGGGCGAAGATGTATGGTAGGCGCACTATTAGGAACCTCGGACTGTGCAGATGAGTGGGACTCAGCTGGCAGAGGGTTGGCGATATCAAATGATTCTGTAGAATCAGGAAAGAGATCTACAAAGGTGTCTAATGGAGGAAGAGGAAAAGCCTGATCATGAACACTACTAAATTTAGATAATTTATGAAACAATTTATACTCCCAAAAAATGACATGAGAAATTCTGAGGCATTTATCAATAGGATCATAACATCTATACCCCTTTTGTTCAATTCCATAGCCAAGAAAACAACAAAGTCAAGAACGTGGTTGTAACT